AGTTTAATATGGCGCTGTACGATTTACTTAAAAAAGCTTGACAAACTTCTCTATAACACTTGGCAGAGAAGGTTCCTTGGATGAATTTGATATCTTTTATTAGACCAACCCAAATGGTTGGAGAATAGTTATTAAGCAAGCTTTCAGGTTCAAAAACCCTTCGTCAGGCTAAGGAAGCTGCAGCAGTTGGTGTGTAACACTTGTACACTCTTTAATCTCACAGTCATATTACTACATTTCTTTCATTTGCTATACCGTCTCATTATAAATAACATCTCACAAGAATTATATGATGACAGGTAAAATAAAAATAAGAATAAAAAACCCTACAATAATCTCCTCCTGCTATGGGAGAAGTACTCTTGAAAATAACCCTAAGGAAGTGAAATGCAGGAATAACCAGATTCGCTCATGCCTTGTAGGAAGGACTGTGCAGTTGCACAAGGGGGAAATACCCTTAAGAAGTCACAAAACCAAAGGATCCACAAAGAAAACAGGTTCAAGTCTCAGGAATCCCAAGCTTGTATCTTTATGCTATCTGTTTTATGTCATTCACTCTAGGGATATTCACTCAAGATTCAAGATATTTTTGCTGCCCCTTCCATCCATGTGCATTTGCTTGCTTCTCCAACTTAAGATGTGTAGCTATGATTCTATTTCCTGTGTGCTGGCCCTTTAAACATAGGGAGTCAGCTTACCTGTCTGTTGCAGGCATTTAAGATGGAAGAACCCCCTGCCCCTCTCCCCCACCCCCCACACACTTTTTTTAATTTGTTGTTTGTTTTTTTTTAATGCCTGGGAAATGTAACTGGCATACATCATGGGAGATGAAAGAACAATAAAACTTCTTGTGCATTTCCTCTAACAAATCTGCTGTTTCTGAGAGGGGTGAACTACATGGAGGGACTGGGGTGTATATGGAGTGTATTTGGGTCTTTTCTGTGTGTATATACATTCAGAAAACCTGCTTCCTTCAGTGCTTAAAATTATACCTTTCCTGGGGCATGCAGTGCTTGGTCTCATTGCAATTACTCTTAAGGGTAAGATCTGCTCATAAACCCCCATCTCACTGAATGCAGATCTGATGTAGGCTGGAACACACTCTGTGAAGCAAAAAGGCCCACATGATGACATTCCTTTACTGCATATGTACAATAAACATTTTGTCAGGCAGCTGTTAGATAGGTTCGTTCCTTTGGGATATTTGGAGGGAAATCTTCCCCAAATCAACTATCGTTTTGGAAAAAAATAAATCCCTGTGAAGCAATCCAATAACAATCTTAAAACCAGACAGAGAATTGATCATGTGCAAAAGGATCATTTCTCATTCTTATCACAATCTCATTCAGCAATGGGCTATATTTTGTCATGTTCTCTGTGTCACAACCCAAAGTTGTGGTTTTTTGTTTTTGTGTGCTTCGGCACCGCTAAATTATGTCCCCGCCAAATTGCAGCTCCTTTGCACGGTAGAGTTTTCTGCTGCAATAGAGAACCCGCGTGCAAAACAGTATTTCCCGCCAGTTTGTAGCCTTCTTTGCATGGTGCATTTCTTTTGCATCATAGTGATGCACGGTGCAAAGGAGTTCCCGCCATTTGTATTTAGATTCGCGCCACATTATTGGCCAATCCTAAATTATGCACACGTGGCGGCTAGCAATTGGCTTGCTAGCCGTATAAAGAGCTTGGGAGGTTTCCGCCCAAGTTGGAGCGAGAGCGAGAGCGAGAGCGAGAGCGCGCGTGCGCGCAATTGGAGTTTGGGAGAAAGAGCGTGAAGATTTCTAAGCGCTGCTAATCCCTTCGAACCCAGCTTCTTTTTCTCCTTAAGAGGGCAATAGAGGGCCGACTTACCGAACCCACGGAGTCTTAACAACTCCGGGGGCCTATTTACCGAACCCACAGAGCTTCAACCACTCCGGGGGCCCAACGGCCTCTAGCCTCTCCCTGTCGCCGAGCACAATCCTAAGACGTATCCCTTTCCTTTGAAACTACCGAACCCGCGGAGCTTCAACCACTCCGGGGCCAATTACCGAGTCGAACCCACGGAGCTTCAACCACTCCGGGGTCAATTGTCGGAATCTTCTAGCGAGGACTTAAGCGGAGCTGAGCCTGGAAAACTGTCCAGCCTACACCACGACCATCTTTGGTGTAAGTAAACAATCTTTAAATCTACCATTACAAGTCCGTGCCTAATTCTAGCGTGTCGCCCGTTCTCTCCAACCCCGTGTGCCCAGGCTGCTGGTCACAGCCCGCGCAGAGCACAAAAAAGGGCCCGGCTCACACCCGGCCCGCACACTCTGCACTTACGAAAATCTTAAAAGCATTACTAATAAGTATTAATTTCATACGATTTTCTAGTCTGCAAGCAATATTTTTCTAAGACAATGCAAAAATCACATATTTTAGGGATTGGTATATATTGTCTGTTAAAATATGGTGATGACTTGTTGTCCTAACATGCTGTAGAACAAATAGACAATGACAGTAAATTAATCCATCGCCTTGACAGTCATATCATGATAAGGATGAAAAAAAGTATCATTTTGATTGCAGACCTGTTCTTGTCCTTTGCACACATTTCCATGACAATGACTGCAATCATTATAACAGCATTTTACATAATGACTCTGCTTTTGTGATGCTATTCCCAAATTGGGTGTGAAAAATGTGAAAGGGCAGATATCAAATGGTAACACTAACATCAATGAGGCAGAACAGACTACTGAAATAATAATTGACAGCATTGACAGGGCAGTGACATTGAATAGAAGCCTAAAATTATGGTGTGATGCCCACTTAACCTTTTCCATAGATCAAGGGTTTCGCTATCAAAAACTCTTATGAATTAAAAGGTATATGAAATGAAACTTTGATAAAGTAGATATAATAAAATGCAACAGCAGTGCAACTAAGAGAAACACTAGCACAACATAGCCTCTATATTGCACTTAGGTTGACTACTACTATTTTTTGGTCTTCAAAAACACACTCCCTTAATTAACTCACATTGGAATGCTGGTCAACCAATCTCCATATTAAAACAAATAATCAAAGTTACCTCTAAATATAAAAGGCACTGTCAATGCTTCTAAACCCCATAGAGGTACTGCAAGTATAAATTTACTATAAATTTACTAATGTTGATGAGGCAAATCAGACACACAAATTGTGAGCATGATACCCTTTAATCGTTTAAAGGAAAAAAGGGGTGGGGGGGGGTGCACAGGGGAACAAAGACAGATGGGGTCACCCATTCAGAGAAAACCATTAAACAAACGCTAACGAATCTCGTTCACTGAGAAAACTCCATTCTGTACAGAAACCAAGGCTAAAACAGAATGTTAGATACTGCCACTATTTCGCAGAACATTTCTGTTGTCCTTGCAGCGCACTAGAGTGCTGTAACAGACCCTTTGGGAATCATTGCTACACATGCTTCCCAAGCTCCAGCATAATATCTTCAACCACACAGCACTGCTGCAGGTAGGCTTCTTCTTATACTGAAAATAATTTATCCAAGGCACTTCAAGCAGGCTCAGTGACTGTGCCAAAGATTTTTCCCTTATGTTAATTAATCCATCCCAGGACTGCAGCTACCCTACTCCAGTTTAGGAAGCATTCTCCCCAGGGCATCACATAGTACCTAGAGCATGGTAAATTATCACATAAACATGGATGACATGGCTTTTTGGGTCCATTCCCCAGCTTTATAATGAAATCAGCTAGCTTTCTTACATGTATTTCTTTTACTGTAAATCTGTTTGTTAGGAATCTTTTCCAAGCTCTTTGGCCTCTAAATATAGGCTCTCCACCTAACGCACTCCTACTGGCCTTTTCCTATAGTTATTCCAATTTTAATTCAATCTTTCTTGATTAGAGCCATAGAAGAAGCTTAAGCAGTGCCTAACTGCATAATTGCATTAATACTCTCTAGTAGAACCACCTCACCCATTACATCTTATGAGTTATGAATGCATTTGGCTTAAGCATGGATGCATCATGTTGATGATAATTTATGATAATTTCTGTTTCCTTGCCCTCTTTCCTATTAGCTAACCTGCCTTTGCTTCCATGGTCAACTTTGTCATCTTTCTCGATAAATGAAGCAAGATAATATTGATTTAGTGTATGTAATAAAAAGTGATATCATAACACATGAAGGGACTGTGTATAATGAGCCTTTAACTTTGAAGCTCATAAACCACTATGCAAATTTCATATTCTTTTAACATAGTTTTCAACATAGATTATATCATACAGACACTACTGCAGAATGTTAACCAACTTGTTGCTGGCCCTTTTTCTTATACATAAACATTGTGGGATGGTATAAGAAATCCCCCTCTCTACCCCAACCCTCCCAGATTGACTACCCAAAAGCTGGGCAAAAAAAAGCTGTCCTTGCAGTGTTTCTGGGCTCCTGCAACACTTCAATTGTGCCTTAACAGCATGTGGATAAGGTATTTCCATAATCCTAAGCACACGATTTGGAGGTGAACATGCTACCTACCCTCTTACACAGAGTGCACCACATAGGGGTTTCCCTCTGAAATAGATCATCTCTGTTTTGCTTTTAAGTTGGTCAAGACCTTAAACCAAATTTGTTTCCAAAATATGCCTCAGAAGAGAGTTTAAAGTTGTCCTGAATTAATCAAATTTGTAGCTCACCTTAGTATATTTACCATTATAAACATGGGGTAATACAGAATGTGAAGCAGGTACATAAGTCCACCACTCAGTTTAGCAACCTTCATTTGCCGTTTTAATCTAGAACTCTAAAAAGTATTAATCAACATTGCTTTTTAATGACAACGTCATTTTTATCTTCATTACTGTAACTAAATATGGGCAACAGGCAAATACACTTGAAGTGTCTGTAGAATCATTCACTGTGGGGAGTCTCCTTTAAATTTGAAAGCATCAGCAAGGGAAGCACCTGAATTGACAATATTTTCCTCTGCAAGTGTTGCTGTACCTTATAAAAGAAATAAATAAGGTCTTACCTTTCCCACATATTGAGGATCTGGTCCCATGTGCTCTTCTAAAACAAAGAACTGGTTCCACACCCATCCACGTTTGGGACGATGGTGTACTTCTGTTTCACCTTCTATGTGTTTAGTTTGATTTCTAGTCACCTTGATGGAGCTATGGTGAGCAGCTCCATAACATCTCTGAACAAAACAGAGACAAACTAGGACTGGGCAGATACAAGATGTGCTCGTAATTCTCATTGTAGGTTAACTTTCCAGTTCAAGGTTTCCTTTTCTCTTGTCTGTTTCAACTGTAATCCTTTAATAGGTTTCCAAGAGGGAAGGTGAAGCCTAGTTTATAAAGACAGTCCAAAACTTTTTTTTTAGCCTGTCCATGGTTTATCTGCCCATTGGGGAAAAGCCAGACTTCATTTACATCATGAAAACTGAGTGGAGAAACTGTTGGTGTTTCTTGAGGTCTTCACAATACACTGGCACAACCAACCATTTTTTACCTAGCAGAGGGAAAAAACAAAAACCACTTACACTTCACTGAAAAGAGTCATTTCAGGTTTTTTTGTTAGTTTGGTTTTTTACACTTCAACGGGTGATGTATGCACTGCTGTGCTAATTGCTTCTTCAAAGGGTTCTATGATAACCAAAATTTCTTTTGAAACTTTTGTGGAGTGTTTCAGTTCTTTTTTAAAAGCATTTTAAGAATTAGTGAGGCTCTTTCAAAGTGCATACAATAGGTATTCTGTGAGAACTGGATAATACAAGGTACTGGTGGTATAAGATTAGGCCTTTCACCTACAGATTACTGTATGATGGATAACGTTTGTTAGTTTACACAAAATGAATTTTTAGCCTTTGTGTAAATTTCTTCTCCACAGAAATCTAAGAATATGGAAAACTTCATTAGCTAAAGGCAGTTTCAAAAGAAACCCCAGGAAAGAATAGCTACTCCAGGTCAGAAGTAAAGCATACTTGCAGAAGCTTGGGGCCAAAACAGTTCATGCTATTATCTAGGTTTTATTGCTGGAACTTTACAGAAACATTAACTGCACATACACAATATTTTTGGAAATTAAATATTGATGGTCTGACACCTCAGCACTGCTTGGATTATGAAAAAAATATTTGTTTGTTACCCAGAAATCACAGAATCATAGGGCTAAAAGGGACTTCAGGATATCAGCCAGCATCAACATTGTTGTCTAAACCATCCCATCCAAGTGTCCGTCTAATCTGCTTTTAAAAACTTCCAAGAATGGAATTTCCACAGCCTCTTCAGGCACATAATTTTCATTGCTTAATGATCCTCATATTTGGGAAGTTCTTAATATCCAACTCAAATTTCCCATGTGGCAATTTGAGACTGTTACTTTTTGTCCTTGTCCCATGACCACCTTATAGTCTAACTCCATCCTTTTTGTAATCACCCTCCAGGGATTTGACAAACTGCTGTTAAATCCTCTGCTCTCACCAGTGTTCACTTCTCCACACTAAATAATCCCAGTTCTTCTAAACTTTTTTCATAATTCATGTTTCCTACACATCTAATCAGTTCTATTCCCCTTCCCTTGACCTTTTGTAATTTGTCTACACCTTTCTTGAAGTGCACAAAACTAGACACAGTCTTCCAAGGAAGGCCTCAGCAGTACTGAATCACTTTCCCTGACTTGCAAGTGACATTCCCATTAATACAACACAGTATGCTATTTCTCTAACAAGAGCACACTGTTGTTTCATAACTCCCCAGGTCCTTTTCTGCAGCACTGCAGCCTAGCCAATCATTCCCCAATTTATATTGGTGCAAATTTATCAAGTGTGCATTCAACCCTTCTCCTTTTAAAAAAGGAAAAATCAGCCTTGGATAAAAAAGTGGTGTTTCACATCTTGGATACCACTGTTTTTATCCGAGGCTCTGGTAGAGGGAAAATAAATTTAAAAAATAAATTAAGAGCAAGGAGTTTGTTTATTTATCAGAATATTTCTGTAGCAACAGATAGTCTCTAAAGAGGTTATATATTGCATGTTTCCAAAACATTAAACAAAAATCAACAAGCAGTCATTGCAGCACTGGAATCAAAACTGCTCTTTTTCACTGGAGGAACAAATTTGCAATTAGATAAATTAACTAGCTGACTTTTTGTACAAAAACAGAAGAAATGTTTACTTATATTTTGTTTGTTTATATTAAAGTTATCTGTTTCTACCGCTCCTCTTTGCTACTGAACATAGTCATTAAATATCAGCACTAATTTTGCTTGTGATTCCTTCCCCCCCCACCCCCCCACCCCACTCATGCTAGAAAATGTTTGAGCAAAATTTTTGAGGTAAAGGAAGAACGTCGTATCCCTGACAGTCAGGAAAGGGAGAGGAACACAAAGCTTTGTTCTTTGGTTTCTTTTTCTACAGAGCTAATACAGAAACTTCAATGTGGAACATGTTGTTGTTCTTCACACCCACGGGTGTGATTATCTTATGATAATCACACCCCTGCCATTCATGCTGTATTGTTTAACCATCTAAAATGTCAGTTGAAGGAAAAAGAATAACAACTGAACACACACACTGGAATAGTGAGAAGAAATCCATTCTACCAAGATGTCCCTGGGAATGAAAAAGAAACAAACCCTAGAAAATATTATGAGAAGAATTTAGAAATGAAAGGAAATAAATAGGGGTAGGAGTTCACCAATTGCTGTATGGTTTATAGATTTCTCTATCTTTCTATACATGTTTCAGTGAAATATCCCCTTTGGAACACTAGCCACTCTTTTCAGTATATGTACTGAGTCCAAATATATTTCACTGAGTGTCATCAAAAGCACAGACCAAATACCTGACCGACCTTTGCTGCTAATTAACAGGTAGAAAAACCGATGAGAGACATATTTTCCATTGCAACCAAGTAGTTTACAATAGTGGACAGTTATGTGATGTTAACAATACAGCATTTCAGACCCAAGAGAAAATACCTGTATAGATTTTAAAGTTTATTTATTTCCCAATCCCAGTTTTAATATCTTGTCTCAAAGATGCATAAAGGATTTGGAATAGTCAATGTCACAATACAAAACACATGGTTAGCAATCTCTCATTCCTCTCAAAACACTGTATTAAGATTAACCCATTAAGCCTCACATAACATACTCCTGGAGTTTAGCATTATTGTTTTCATTTTGCAGATGGGGAAACTAAATCAAGGAATATTTGCTGGACTTATGCACAGAGAGGTACTGTAGGACACTCCACCTTCTGCTACAAATCAAATAAAAAAAATTAAAAATAAAAAAGGCTCAAAGGAACCTCAGCAGTCCATTTAGTCAGACCCCCCTCGCTGAAAACAGCATTCTCTCTGTAATCCATCCCAGACAAGCATTTGTCAAATCTGTATTAAAAAATAAATAAATAAAAAATAGATGACATCCCACAACCTTTCTAGGCAATCTATTTCTTTATTTAATAACTTTTATGTTTATTGTTCAAAATCCAAGACTACTGATGCATTTTACTTTGCCTAGTTAAACCACTATGCGTAGTAGAAAACATTTCCTCTTGACCATTTCAAAATATCATATTATATCTGAACACATGATTTCCCAATAGTACCTTATTTAGAGACTACTATTAAACTAAAGTAGGTGGAATTATTATGTTCCAATATATACTGATATTAATTCAATGAAAGTTCGAAAGTAAGTTACAAATTAAAAATTCTTAATTTTGTCTTTAAAATCTCCCACTTCCATTTTAAAGGCTAAAGGGAAACAACAGATTTGGGTTCCCACACTGTACAAAATAAAGGAAAGAAAAACAAAGAAAAAATTCAAAAAAATAGATTTCTCTCAATGGAGCTATTCAGCAGTACATACATATATATGCGAAAATAGTACTATCTAACTTGCGTTTGTGGAAATTTGTAAATTAGTTTTGTGGAAAATGTTGCTTGCTCATAAAAAGCAAATATAAATAAATGCGGCAGTACAAATTTAGATGATGCCATTAAAAAACAAGATTTATTGCATATATTTTTTCCCCACAAGTGATCTACAGAATTAATTCATAAATGCTCACATAAATCCTGTATACTGTGCTACTTGTAGCCTGACACGTCTTTCTGAATCAATGGGAGACAGTTAACTTAAAGCTGACCTAAAAACGCAGAGAAAAAGTAATGTATCTTAATTTTTATTACATATGAGTAATTTCAGGAAGCCTTTGCAAAATAAAAGGATATCAAGTGAAACAAGAGCATGCTTGATTTTTTTTTATTGAAAAATAGAGGTCTTGACTACCACAAAATATTTTGTGTTGGCTGGATAACTATACATGAGTGTCTCAGGACTTTGCAACTGGAAAGAAAGCTTTTAATGGTTTATTCCCACCCCCACCCCCCCTTAAAAGAATATTTAAACATGCTTTAGTTAGCTCCTTTTAAAAATAATTGCTCAGATAAATACACAAGAGAAATACACTGTTAAAGAACCCAGCTTCTACTCTACACACATTTACTTATTAAAGCCTAGAAGATCAATTCATTTTTTGCGCACACATGCACACACAAACACATACTCCAGGACCCCTTTAAACAAAGTAAATATGCCTGGGAAAGATTAGTTTTCCTTGTGATAAAGTTGTAAAATGGAAAAGGTTCATTTTCCTTCATCCTATGTTAAAATAAATTTCAGGTACACTTGGCTGGGAAGAGACTGAAATAAATGTTGGACTGAACTTTTTGATGTTTAAATGATGCTCCCATACCTGACTCTCCAAGAGCCAAGTGCTCTCAATGCCGCTGTCTTCAGTTTCAGAGTAAGTGTCCTGCTTTATGTTTTTGGTGTTATAATGATATATGCTGCTGCAGAGTAGACTTGTATGATTGCTGTCTCCTGGGAACTCTCACGCAAATGAGTTGTATACCTCAGGAGATTGTTGCTGGGAGTTAAAATTAAAATAAATAATTAAATATGATGATGTGGGACAGCTCTGCTAGCACTGCTGAAAATCATTACAAAACTGCTTACTGCTTTGTATGGCAGCAGGTTTCTAATGAATTCCCATGGAGCTAGTAAGAGCACAGTAATGTAGAATGGGCATACTCTACCATCTGGAAAAAGCACAGTCTAATATGAGAGGCAATTAAGATGGACCTTAACAAGTCCTGCCATGAACCTCTGTCCCAAATTCTAAACCTCACATTAATTACAAATTTGAATTCATGTTTATTTAATGTAGCCCCATTTTTCTAACTTCCTGCATCCTTTCTACATCCTGTGAAGCTTCTCATCATAGCCCTGGATAGGACAGGCATACAATCAAGTTATGGAACTTGGCACTAAATTGCAATCCTTAGGTAGAGTTGGAGTGATGTTGTAACCATGATGGTCTAAGGAAAATGTGAGAGGTAAGGATATTGTCGCTGATTTTTTTATTATTATTATTATTGGATCTACTGCATAGTTGGGTGGGATACAGATAGGGTGACCATGTGGGACAATGTGCAATC